GTAGTCCCTCTCTGGTTTTATTGTAACTTACAAGATATGATTTGGTATATTTAGTAATACATTACCAGATGCCACTGTCAGCCACCGTCATGCCCACTGTGAGTTTAGTGTACTAATTGTCTTTACAAGTAGATGGTTCCAGAAGTATTTAGTCACCAATGAACCAATTACTAATACTACCTGTCTCACCTGTTAACCCATTTCCTTGATTTTCGGAGATATTTTCTTTTATCTTATATTTCTGTTAGTAATGTCAGTAACATCATAATCATTATAATGGCTGTGATAATAATAACAGCATCAATATTGATAGCATAAGTAAAAAGATAATAATAATAATAAAAAAAAATAAAAAACTCAAGGAAAGGTAAAATTAGATGAGGTCACGAGGTCAACTAATTGACCACTCAATGGATAAACACTAGTGGAGTCATCTGAATGTGCAGATATTTCACAAAGCAATACTGCAATTAACATTACACTTTTCCCAGACTTTCCTAAGAGGTCATCCATTCTTTTCATAATTTTCTTGAGTCTACAAACCATATGCTAAGGGTGGAGGGAGTTAATCTTAGGTGTACACTTTTTAGAACGTCTTCAAAATATGATCATTAATGCATTCTTATTGCACTAGCAAAATCCAAACAAGAAGATTTTCGGCAGATGAGATGTTTAATTTCCAATACAAAAGCACTTGAACACGTTTTTGTGTTTTAGAATTGATTTCATTCTCATGATGAAGGCCCTATAGACAAAGGCAGGGATGCAAGGTGTCCTATAATGGTTGCCTGCTTGAATCTGTAGTATCATCGCATTCGTTTAGACCCCGGAGTTATCCTTTTTATCGTTTTGCTTTGTACACTCTGGGGGAGGGAGGGGGTCTTGGGAAAAGAGTATTTTTTGGTATGTTTATGAAATTGATTAAGGAAATGGGTGACCTATATGCTAACCAAGCCTTTCATTGGCTGTTTTATCACCACTGGTTCTACCTCTTCATATGACAATGTTGTTGCAATTGATGCATCTGCCATAGTATGGAGTTGGCCATCAAGAACTTTGCAGGATTATCTTTACTCATTTATTCCTGCTGTAAAGATTCAAGATATAGGGTGTTAAAATAGATGAAGGTGCTAATCAGCCATTGGTGATCGTTTTTGGTGGTTTTAGAATTGATTTCATTCTCATGATGAAGGCCTTATAGACAAAGGCAGGGATGCAAGGTGTCCTATAATGGTTGCCTGCTTGAATCTGTAGTATCATCGCATTCGTTTAGACCCAGGAGTTATCATGTTTATCGTTTTGCTTTGTACACTCTGGGGGAGGGAGGGGGTCTTGGGAAAAGAGTATTTTTTTGGTATGTTTATGAAATTGATTAAGGAAATGGGTGACCTATATGCTAACCAAGCCTTTCATTGGCTGTTTTATCACCACTGGTTCTACCTCTTCATATGACAATGTTGTTGCAATTGATGCATCTGCCATAGTATGGAGTTGGCCATCAAGACCTTTGCAGGATTATCTTTACTCATGTATTCCTGCTGTAAAGATTCAAGATATAGGGTGTTAAAATAGATGAAGGTGCTAATCAGCCATTGATGATTGTTTTTGTGTATGGTTTAGATATGAAATTTATATGCATTATTTTAAGATTAAGTTATTAGAAAATGTTAATATTAAGTAACTGTTTTGCATGTGAATTAATGTTGAGATTTACACTGTTTCTAAATGACATACTGGCTGCAAAGCTTTTCGTGTTATTAACAGATTTTCCTTTTCTCCACTTACTCCAGTGGCAAACGGAAAACAGCCGTCCATTTGAAGTGATGCTAGTCCTAATATCATTTCTTATTGCCTGGGCTGAAGCTTGGTTTATTGACTTCAGGGTTTTACCGCAAGAAGCCCGTGCTAGGTCAATTCTGGAAGGTAAGGAAATTCAAGCAAATTCATCATACACATGAAGAATTTGGAAGATAAGGAGATGGTGAAATATAAGAAAAATATGCTATAATGTATGTGTAACTTTAATGTCTTCTTAATGGTATAATTAGATTTAAAATTGGTTAAGAGTATATTCATTTAGCATATACACAAGAAAGGTGTTTATTGTAGATTTTTATTTTTCACTTGTGTTGCCAGTTTGTGTACATGTTTGTTACTGTTATTCTGAAAGCAAGTAACCATCAGTGCTAAAACTTTTAATAAACAACAAGAAATAATTTCATGTTTCTTTATAACAGCAGCTGCAGGCAGCAGTGAACACATCGAGAATGATCCTCTATTACCACAGTTGGAACGAGTGAGGGACTACCTCAGTCATTACACAGAGACTATTGGTGATTTCTACTCACCCATGGAATCACCTTTAGGTAAAACAGTAAAATTAAAGCCAAATTATTTAATAAGTTTCTGCTATAATGAGTTTAGGATCAGTTGAAAATGAGTATCAGAATGCATGACAAATACTCTTTTGATTGCTGCAGTATAATTGGAATATCCATTAGACTATCCAGTATTGTATAACATCAGCTGGAATCCATTCTGTCATTCTGTGACCTACAAATTCATGTAAAAAATTACTAAAAGGCAAACCTACCTATGATAACTGTTATTTCATAAAGCTGAAATATTTTTCAGGGTCTGATGACGATGATGATGGTTTTACTCGTACGGATTACAGGAAATTATCACCTGAAGTAAGTTATTTTTCAGTTGTGTTATTTAATATTGCCATTATAGTCTGTGATTTCATATAGTGAACCGGTCTACACTTGTACCCAGAGAAATTTATTGAGCATAACATTATACATTATGTTAATGAACTTGGGCATTGACATTCTCTTAGAAACTATATAATGGCTAACTTGGAAACTATGACACAGTTAAAGAAATGTACTTTTGTAAATTAGCTTGTTCTACATTTGCAAATACTTTGTAAAAATGACTTCCCAAACAGGAGAAACAAATGCAAGCCAGTGGTTATGAAGCCTTGCAGAAAGCTTGGGAGACTGTAAACTCTTCTGGCTGGAAAGTGGAGAAGGAAACTTCACATGGAGACACAGTGTCCTCCAAAGTGGGACCTAAAGGATCAAAAATATATAAACTTGTGGTAAGTATTTAATTTTTTTCTATTGATTTTCCCAAGACAGATAATGAGGATGGTTTGGGGTTATCATTATTATAAAAGATTTTGATTAGGAAAGATGTAGCATCCTCCACTATTTACACTGTGAGTGTATTTTTCTGAACCTTTTAACAATAAAAAACTTTTGTGTGTGTACAAAAAACAACAACTTTTGTGTGTGTACTGTATATATGTATATATATATTCATTCACTACCTCAAATCTTATGCCAACATTAGTTACATAAAAGAATGTGCATATTCTACTCTGCATTCACTCACTGAGCTTCATTACTGTGACTTTCAATAACTGATAGTTTATTGTACATTTCACAGAGCTTGGTAGTCTCAGGACAACCTAGCTCTTCCTAGATACAGTAGTTCTTCCTGGGCACAGTAAATGGAATTGGAGAATTGTGAACAACAGGCAACCCCTTTTTTCTTTTCTTTCTCAGCTGATGTGTCTTTTGCATGTCTTGTTTAGAGAGCTTTGTACTAAGAGTGTATTCCTAATAAAATTCTTAAAACTAATGATGCAGAACTTCCATGATTCACAGTCTTTTTCTTTTTCTTTTTCTTTTTCTTTTTCTTTTTTTTTCCCCTATTATGAATGGCTCTATGACATGATTCGAAATTCAGATTTCAAGTAAAGCACTTTCCTTATGTGTGTATGTCCCATTGTAATGTCACAGATATGTTGTCACATTTTGCCTGCTACATCTTGCGATCAACACAAATGATGATGTATAGTATCAGTGAATTCCTCCTTGTTATGGCTTTAGCCCTTGGTTTTAATGTTTTTTCTGTCAAAGTTTATGAGATCAGTGAGAAATAATTACCTTTACTTCTTGCACTTGTCTAACCTGGCACTCTTTTGATAGCATTAACTTAATTCTGTGCTGTTTACTCAAGTCAGTTTTGACAGACCGTATGAGTTGTCAGAGCTGTTGTAATTGTTAGTCTTGATATACCTACTAAGGTAGATCCACTAGGTTTGTGATGCCCATCCTTCCAGGACATGCTAATAGTTCCATTATGTCTCTAGTCATGGTCTTACCCTTCTGACTTTTTGAGAGAGCCGAGATGGACACTTCACCTATAGTACTATCAGGCAGTTGAAACAGCTGGGACCAATCATTTCAGGAAGATCCACCAATGTCGAGTCTGTTCATAAAAGATGTATAGGTTGCGTAAAGCTCTTTTATCTCTCTGTCTGTTAGATTATATTGGACTTTTGTCATTTTGTGTTAGGCATATGCCTACTAAGCTTTGCATTCTAGGGAGCCTATTACAGTTCACAGATGGTGCTAACCAGTAATTGTTATTCACATTTTTTGATGCCTGAAGATTTGTAAGGAACAACTGGCTTCACAACAACTGGCTTCACATGATTTTTTATTGTCTAAGAAAATCTTTGGGCTATGTCTCACTTAGTCCCACAATGTTATGTCTATAATGTTTTCTGCACCTACATTTTCATAGTGTAATGAGCAATGTTCTCTTGGAGAACTGATATTAATGGGCTTTATATTAGTGTGTCTACTGGATCACACTGCCTCACTGTATCAGCTGATGCAATCTTCGCTAATATGTTTCCATTTCTGCATTTTTCTTGGTCCTTCTTTGAATGTATGATGTAAACCTCATGAAGATTTAATATAGTTCTGCATTTGCCCATTACTGCCACTACTTCTACTTCTACTTTTACCACTCGACTACTACTAGTACACTACTACATTTTAAGTCCTTGTATATTCTTTAGAAAGAGTTCAATCTTCTACTTTCCAAATGACTTGAGTAAATTAATCCCAGATGGTTTTTGTCTCTCTTTAGGGTGTGGTGGAGGTAGACCCAAAGACCTTGTTTAATGAGATGCTCTACAACTTTGAAAATATTCCGACATGGAATAAAGCGATAACACTAGGTAGAGTTGTACAGGTGAGTGCCAGTTGAACATGAGATTAACTTTCCTTTTTTATAAAAGTCTGTAAGGGTTAAGGGTCTGTGTGTGTGTACTGATGTGTTAAAACTTTAATATAACCCATTTGAAATTAACATTGCACGGAATTATTTGTATTCTCTATTAATTTCTGGTTTTGTGTTATTTTATCAGACGATAGATAGTTGCACAGATGTGGTGTACCAGGTTGCTGCAGAAGGACCAGGAGGCGTAGTATCTGCAAGAGATTTTGTGAATGTGCGACACTGGAAGAAAATTGGTGATTCCTGGGTCTCTGCAAATATCTCTGTTGTTCATAAAGATGAACCACCACAAAAGAGTATAGTGAGGTATGTAGATATTAAAGTATTAAGACTATTACAAATTTTGATCCATGTTTCCAGTAGTGTTGACTTTTTCTGGTTTCCTCAATAAGCCTCATTTTCTACATATTCATGACATTGGACAGTGGGTGGGTTTTCAAAGTAGGATGAAGTCATGGCAAGCAATAGACATTATGGTTGCCAATATAACAAGACAAATAGAGCATGTTACAGCTGATCCTAAAGATTTTATTTGCTTATATATTTCTGTTGGTGTGTGGAAAAATCATAGCAATAGTTGGATGTAAAGATAACCTTTAAGTATTTTTATTCAGAATTCACCCAGGAAGTGATTTGTCCAAGGCAAATGTATTTTACTTAATCTAAGATCTAAGTTGTATTTGAGTGCCTTTGCAGGACTGAAATATTAACATTTGTTATTATACACAGCATTTTTATATCCGTCAGTAAAATGATGATGTGTGATTGACATAGTAACAGGAAAAAGAATGTTATCTGTTATGTCCCAAAATCCAAGTATGAGGCTTACTTGAGTGGCGATTCTCCCCAGTGTGTAGGTTGTAGCCCTGGCTCACGGGAATGCTCGTCTGTGGTGTCATGACTTCTTTTTTCTCTTTTGCAATGTTAGAGCCTCTTTTTCTAAATAGCTTTTTTGTTTGTTTATTTGCCATTTTTCAAGGTATATTTTTGTCATTTGATATGCTCTATGAAGGTGATAATGGAGTCTTTTTCTTGCATAGACTTCATATAATCTATGTGGGTAGTCTAGAGCAATAACATAAACAATAAGTAACATATTATTATTGGTGTTATTTTTCAAAAATTTACTATTCAATTTTCTGCAATACACTATGCGCTACTGGCCACGATGCAGGGATAGGATCCTGAGCATGGAAAGAGTGTGCTTCCTTCAGCTGGTACTCTTCCAGCCATGGCTCATGGATGGTACATTCCAAACTCACTTAATGTTGGAAATAATGTACTTTCCTAAATGCCCACTGAGTCTAATCTTCCTCCAAGAGCTTTGTGCACTCGAGGCAAGTCAGTCCCGTCATCTTGGCCCTTAGTCAAATTTTTCTGTGAAGGCATACTCTTTTCACCTGATCCTCAGCCAATTTTTTTTTATGATATGGAGGTCATGTCAGCTGGATCATCAGGGTAACTTGGGATGTGAGTCTGTGTTTGAGTAGATAGCAGTATGTACTGTAGATTAGAGTATATGTTTGATCTTACTGTGTATTGCATAAATCTTTAGTTATTATATTTATTATATATTTTATTTATTTTTTTATTTTTTTTATAATAAACAATAGATTATACCTGTTACAGCTACTCGGTTAAAATAAATCCTTCTATGGACTGTATCAAGTGTTTATTTTCTACACAGTATATTGCAATTCTGAAAGAGAAATAAATAAATTGATATCTCATGAGATCCTTGGCTTTTAAGCACATCATTTTGCTACCTTTAAATGTAGAAATTATGTATAAAGGGCCATATTTTGCCAGCTTAAACTGTTTTTATAACTAGAAAGAAATGCAATATGTCAAGGTGTGTTTTCTAAAAAGAAAAATCAAGTAGTTGAAGAGGTAAGAATTTCAAAGCCCAAAGTATGCCATTTCTTTTGTTTGTTATTACGTTGACCCTATACAAGACAGATAATAATATGGTACCTAACCTGTGCAAGACTGAAATAATAACAGATTTGTTATTATAGACAGCATTTTATTCCCTGTCAGTTAAATGAATATTTGTGAATGGCATAGTAACAGGAATAGAATATTATCTGTTATCATGTACCACTTAATGATAATCCCAACCACTTACTTATCATGTCAGTTATAGAATGATGTAATTCAGATAGTGCTATTCTATAATCTTTAAAGACACATCAAACAGGTACCCTTAGATCCTTAGACTATGAATTTGCATATGAATTAACCCTATGTGCTGGGATGGCACAATACACATGCCATGTGTTCTTTGATTTTAGTTCATTTATTGTTTATACACATAGATGGCTGGTATACACATAGATTGACCTAGTAGTTAACTCACCAAGGAGTCAACTACTAGGTCAATTTCTTACCTGTTAACCCCTTTTCTTGATTTTTAAAATTAATATTTTCATAACCTTTTAATGATCATAATGTCAATAATAGTAATAACAGTATCAATATTATTATTATTGTTGGTCTACTAACAATAATCCTTGATGGCTAAGCACTTATAACTATCAATATGTCAAGGTGTGTTTTCTAAAAAGAAAAATCAAGTAGTTGAAGAGGTAAGAATTTCAAAGCCCAAAGTATGCCAATTCTTTTGCTTGTTATTACTTTGACCCTATACAAGACAAATAATAATATGGTAACTAACCTGTGCAAGACTGAAATAATAACAGATGTGTTATTATAGACAGCATTTTATTCCCTGTCAGTGAAATGAATATTTGTGAATGGCATAGTAACAGGAATAGAATGTTATCTGTTATCATGTACCACTTAATGATAATCCCAACCACTTACTTATCATGTCAGTTGTAGAATGATGTAATTCAGATAGTGCTATTCTATAATCTTTAAAGACACATCAAACAGGTACCCTTAGGATCCTTAGACTATGAATTTGCATATGAATTAACCCTATGTGCTGGGATGGCACAATACACATGCCATGTGTTCTTTGATTTTAGTTCATTTATTGTTTATACACATAGATGGCTGGTATACACATAGATTGACCTAGTAGTTAACTCACCAAGGAGTCAACTACTAGGTCAATCTCTTACCTGTTAACCCCTTTTCTTGATTTTTTAAAATTAATATTTTCATAACCTTTTAATGATCATAATGTCAATAATAGTAATAACAGTATCAATATTATTATTATTGTTGGTCTACTAACAATAATCCTTGATGGCTAAGCACTTGTAGAGAAAAAAACTACTGACAGTATTTGTTACAAAGGTTAAACATTGGGACTCACAAGAACATAAGGGCATTATTGACGGCTACTTTTTATAGTGGCTTTGTGGGAATGTATGGAACAAGAAAACACTTAATTAAATAACCTCTCTTTTCTGCTAGTTTTATTCTTTATACTTCATCTAGTCTCAGGAAAGAAAAAGCAGGCAACTCATCCCAGGTTGGGAGCTGAAGGTAGAAATTTTCAATAAAAGATATTTAAAAAATTATGTATTAAAAATACAAAACATATATAAATGCTACAATATTATTTTTTCACAAAAGATACTTGATGAATCAGAGTATGCTGCCCGGGTGTATTGCCAGTTTTTTCCTCTCCCGATGCACTTTAGTTTTCACACCTTTTCTTACTCTCTGTTGTTGTTGCCAGGGGTGAGAATGGACCAGGCTGCTGGGTGTTTAGCCCAGTTGGAGGTGCTCCGAAGAAATGTTCCTTCCAATGGTTGCTGGACACAGATCTCAAGGGTTGGATCCCTCAGTACGTTATTGACCAGGCTCTTACATTCGCCATGACAGACTTCCTGCAATGCTTACGGAACTATGCACCACACATCTCTGCAAGTAAATCTGAAAGATATAGTGCTAGATAAGTTGTGTCATTATTCGGCACTACTGACCATTATTTTACTCATGATGTCACATGTCTCATCATTGTTAAAGATGTAGATAGGTCTTGATTATAGGATTATCCATTTGTAGAAATAACATTGCTACTTGTTTATTTGTATATTGTCAGTTTTGTTTAATGTTGTGATATGATTTCCTTTGCATGAAAGGAATTGTTGATTCACTATACCTCTTAATGAAGGTTGATAGGACATCTCATGTTGATGAATATATTAATGTAATTATAATAATAACCAAAAGACAATATCACATTGTTGTGAGATGGTAGTACACAGGTTAAATGTCCTTGGAATTCCTTTATTCCTAAGCTTCTTGTAGTCAGGGCCTGAAAATTACTTTTTTTTACCATTATAAGTATTAGTTGACAAAATATCTGCATGGATTATACAGGAGAACACTTTTTATGATTAGTCTCTTAAAACCAGATCAGTTAGACTTTCATCTTCATGATGCTCAGTGTATTATCTCCAGGGACACAAACATTATTAGTTGAAGATGAATACTCATAGTTTTAGATGTAGAAAGCCAACTTTATTTCTTATCTTGAGAAAGCTGCTTGTTGGTGAGAAGTCTTTTATTTACTTGGCTGTGAAGCAGTGTGTGGGGGGTATTCTGTGACTGATGCTTAGTCTTATCTTTACAAGCTGTATCTTTTAAGAGAAAATAACCTGTACACATTGAAAAGTGATCATATTTGGTTGTGTTTAACACCATTCAAGGAGGTTTAGGATACCTATCAGAATGGAGTTATTCAGTTGCTAGATATTTGGAGATTTAGGCTATAGTTAGAGGCTTTTGAATATCAAGTGAAAGCCTAGGGATTACCTATAGAGGCAAAAACTGGGGAAAAAATCTACAGTGGTGTTGCCTATGATCATGTCTTTTATGTTTCATTACTGTGGAAGTTGTTGATTGAGACTTTTATCAATTGTTTCTGTAGTTTCCATACATATTGATATACAAAGTTGTAAGTAAATTTGCTGGGAAGTGTGATAGATTTTATTTTTCTTATTCTTTTTTTTTCACTGTGAATATAGATTTTTCTTTTTTAGTCTGAACATATGCATGTATGAATGTGTATTTTGATAAGCATTATTGAGTTGATATTATGAATATGAAATCTTTTAAAGTGCTAAAATTTATACCAATCACTTCCATTGGATTTATTTAAGTGCCTCTATCTGTGTGATGTATATAAAGCTAAGTATTAGGCAATTGAAAATTGTACAAGTAAACCTGTTGTGCTTAATCTTCCTGCATGGAGGATTCTGGTGAGGATTCTGTCAGTATTCTTCTGAATTGTAAATAAATAAAAAATATATTTACAGGTTTCCCTCTTTTTACACTTTCTTTTCATTTCGATATGCTACTGTAGCCCATTTAATGCAACAAGAAAATGCAATAAGATTTGAAGTTAAAGACACAGCTGTTTGCTCTTTTTGTTGTGTGTGTGTGTTTGTTCTTCCAGCATTTAGATCTCCCTCTCTATTTGCTATGGGGGAGAGCTATACAGTATGTAATAACAGCTAGTTTTGCATGTCGAAATTTAGTATGTGTATGGTTTGAAAATGGGTACTTTACTCATAAATTGACCATAATACAAAAATAATCCTATCAACAGAAGTGCCCCATTATCATCAGAGTAGTCATTGATCAATTTGATTTCACTGGGATAAACCAGTTTGGTAAGAAAGAAGAGAATATAGCTGTTTCTTAATGTGGTGATTGTATTCTGTGTCTGGTCTTTCTTATCTATTCAAGGTTTTGTATATATTAAGCTTGCTTGAAGAAATAGTAAAAGATAAAAAATAGATAATGAATTGATTACGTGGTACTCACAACAGCTAATCTGCATGCATAGAAAATAACGTTTTGGAAATCATATAAAATAATCAGGAATTATTCCAAAGGTTAACATAGACATTTCAGTCTCAAAATTTTATATTGCTTTATTGAAATAATCAGCCACTACCATCATATAAATCAGGCATGTTTAACTATATCTAGAAGCCTTAAATAATTGTGTGGATGCGAGCATTCGAATACTGTACAGTTGTCCATCCTGGCAAGTTCTACAGGGGCACTTTATTATCTGCAAGAAATTCTGCTACTAGTCAAAAGAATGTTTTCATCTTCACTTTCTTACTAGCTTCATGCTACACTATTACTAAAAGACTATCCAGTTGGAATGATGACCCTTCTGGTAATGGAAGCTAAAGGTGTACAAATGTCATGGGCAGTGTATGAAGTAAGGAACAACGCAGACTTTATCAAAATCTTTGGTGATGTGGCCTATAGTACTGATGTGAGACACTATGGTTTCTGAAAAAAAAGAACCATCAAGAGTGTTCCGTTATGTGACAATTCCTCCAATCATCTTCCAGCTGGTGCTAGCATATATTGATTTTGCTGCTTTTTTTTGTATGTATGTATGTATGTATGTATGTATGTATTTCATGTCACATATCTCATATGTGAAGTCATCAGAAATAATATATATTGCATTTTCTTTACTTAGAAAAGTTTTTTTTCTGCATTTGTGATTTCTGTGAAAATGTGGCTGCAGAGTATTTGAAGAAAACACTGTATTCATGTGCGTAAGCTTGCAAGTGTGTGTTTTAATATATTTAAACAAAGGCAGTATGCTTGTATTAGTTCCAGATCTGATTTGTACAGTGATGAGATGCACCATAATTTTGTTTGATGTAAAAGCTTTAATAGATATAATTGCTTCTCTATGAATTCAGAAGGGCTTAAACTATTCTCTATGTCTTATTTATGCAAAGGTAAAAGCTGAATGGTATCTTACAGGCATTCCATATGTGGGTTCATTGAACACGGAATATGATAGATCATTGTCTGAATATTATATTTCATAGGTGGAAATTGTAATAATTTATATGCAAGAAAAGTCATGGGTATAATCATTAAAGAAATCAATAAATCACCATCTTGATTAGAAGACTATCTTACTCTCCTATATTGTGACAGTTATGTTGTTTTTTTTTAGCTCGTGAATCATTCGCCTGCCATGTGTGGAAGATGCCACACACCAAAACATGATGTTCTCTTGCTGCTGATGTGAACTTGTAAATAACCTTCACTCCTGTTGACAAGATCTGTTTCCTCATGTCAACTACTCATATTGTCTTTTGGCACTATGCCAGTGTGACTGTCTTGAAGTATGACACAAATATGGCAAGTACTGAAGCCTTGGGTGCAGCAGCCTTTTATATCTCTGTATACAATGTTGTAGTTTCTAGAAATAAGATTTGTGAAAATGAGTGATTAAAAAAAAAGAATTATCCTTTGATAAAATCACATTCAATATTGTATAGAGTGTAACATACCTTATTTATTAAAATGATCTCTGATGTACATATTTGGCTTCTACAGGTTCGTTTTAGTAACAGAAATGCATATCATTCATCTCTGAATATGCAAAAACATTAAAATCATGTTCTGCATTCAGCTGATATAAAAAA